CGTACCTCACCAAGTCGAGCCTCCGCACCGAAGCCAACTAGACTTGGAGTTGTGATTGGTCGTTGAATCGTCTCTGTGTCATCGCAAACATTGTCACCCGTCTTGCTCAAGTCAATCAAGTAAAAGTCGATATCGAATATACTTGAATTTGTCGAAGTGTACATTGACGCAGTGACTTTGAAAGGAAGTCAATCTTGCGAAGCATCGCATACACCGAGATTCCGCGCTCCAACTTCCGCTTTGACAGGTTTGCTCTTAGCGCATTCTGCAGGACGCTAGGTTGTGCAACTGGTACATTGGTGTTGGCTAGCCTATCTGAAGGCTCGAACCCTCCTACCCTTGTACCCTCATTGTCGCACTTGAACGTGGACTGCACGTTGCTTAATATACTTGCTGCCTCTGTGGCAACCGTCTAGCGGGATCACTGGCCAATGCCTATTCGAGTATCACAAATCGAGCATAGGCATTGGTTGGCGATCCGTGACAAGTATCCGGATTGTATCTGGAGGTTTAGCGCACGGCTATTGGTAGAAATTAGGCCGAAAATAGGCCCCTTTATGGGGCCTATACAAACATCAAATGGTTTTATAAGGCATCTATTTTTATCGTTCAACCACGATAGAAGGTCAGCTTTCGAAGGACATGGCGATGGGAGGCAAGGGAATCCTTGGGACGACGGGACGATGAGACGATGGGACGTCATTCGAAAGTCGATCTTCTCTTCTTCTCTTCTTCTCTTCTTCGCTTTTATTAGGCACGTTTGTTAGTTCCCCACAGTTTATGCGGTACTCGTCATATACACTCGATTTATAGTCATTTTACGTATACTTGTCTAAAATATGTCAAGGCGCGCATAGGTTTCGTGTTTCTTGGAATGATGTTTTTGTCGCGACGACGGAACATCCGCGTGGGTTCGATACGTCGCCATGAGGCGTGCGCTACGAGCCATTGCACACACTTGTAAGATCTCGTCGTCGGACCAGCAAGAATTGAACACGTTCAGCCGGACCCGGCGCCGAGCGCGGGACAAGGCGATGATGAGTGCCTTGACGTGGTCGATGCGGAGCCCGCAGTACGAGACGTCGATCTCGGCCATGTGCTGCAGATACGGCAGCGCTGACGCTAGCGCCATGACGGCGCGGTCGCTGAGGTAATTTTCAAACAATTGCAAGCGCTGGAATGCCGGCAGCGCGTATGGCAGTACCGCAAAGAGCTGGCTCGCGCCATCATCCCAGATTTGGTTGCCCGAGAGGTTCAAGCCTTCGAGAGTCCGCCACTCCGGTAGTGTCCGCGCAAAGTACTTGATGTCGGCACATTCGATCTGATTGCCGCTGAGATCAAGCTCTTGGACGCGCGTTGGCAGCAGTGCGCGGACCACCCAGCCAATGGCTTCGTCGTTCAGGCCGACTCGACTGAGACGTAGTCGTCGGAGATGTTTCATTTGGGCCACGCCACGAAGCATGGGGCGAAGCATGTCATACTCGTCGATATACTGCCCCGAGAGGTCGAGCGTGTGCACGCTGGACCCCTGTGCGGCACAAAAGGAGTCTTCTCGCATGAGGCTCGCGCTGGTAACGCGTAGCACGCGCAGCGTCTGCGAGAACAAGAACGTGTGAAAGCTCGAGGGCACAATGTCGTGGCACCGGACGAGCTCGAGCGTCTCGAGGCCGTTCTTCGACATCATGAGTTTCTCAAATGCTTTGCGTTTCGTCTCGTCAAAGCCGAGGCCGTTGAGCGCAAGCGCACGCAGCCGAGTCTTCCTGATCGTTGAAAAAAGCGAGTTGGTCGCAGGTATTGGCAGTGGAATGTCGTCGCGCACGTCAGCAAACGAGTCGTCCAGCTCAATCGCAGGGGTCTCGCCGTTGACGAGGCGCACGTCCACGACGCCGGCGTTGTCGAGAACCGCCTTGCAAAACGCGTTGAGCTGCTTTGCATTGCCGTACCAGTAGATGGTGACGCAACGCAAGCTTACACTCGACTTGAGAAGACTCACGATGCTTGATTGCTGGCCGCGCGCCTCGACGTCATGCACCTCGACGCTTTGAATTTGTTGCTTGTGCTTGGTCAAAAATGCCAGCGTTGGCGGCAGTGGCGTCTTGATGTTGGCAATGTGGAGCTGGGTGCTGGGCCAGAGCACGTCCGCCCACTGCTCGGGGTTGGCGCTCGCATCGATCGAACACTGACCGACAAAGCCGAGCGCGTCGCGGAGTGCTGGTCGGAGACCCAGCTCGTAGGTGTCTGCACGGAGCTGCAGCACGGGCCAAAGATGCTTGTCGGGCTGTGCGTTGGAGAGCTCGAGGAGCGCGTCGAGGCCGCTGCTGAGGCAGCTGCGAGGCAGGAGGCTCGCCACGTCAAAGAGCAGGACGGGGCTCGCAACAAACTGAAGAATACGGTCGACGATGCAAGGGTCGAGGACGCTGGGTCGCGGCGCGCAGTGGTACATGCGGCGGCTCCAGGCAGTGTCCATCGATGCCGCACTTTCCAAAATACCAGCGCCGTTTCGCCCGTTGAACGCCCGCGAGATCGCTCAGATAGTGTGCTGTACACTATTTCGTGGCTTCCCACAGGTCGTGCCAGTCG